CCAAACACAGTTGCCTGTCGTGGCGAGGAAAGCTGTCTTTGATAAAGCATACTCTCATATGCTTTTGATTTATAGAACTAGTAAGGTTTTCCTGGTAAGTCCAACCACAAGCTAAATAATATTTCACTTATCGTTGTTTGATACATTCACTGATACTCCTGGGCCTATTTACGAGACAAAGTGTGATGATATATGAGGCCTGAGACCACATAAAGTATAACATTCAGCAGAAACACAGTTGAATAAATAAACAGTAAGGAAGAATTATGTGTGGTGGTTTGCATATTTATGTAATTGTAAATTGAAGTATAGCCACAAACCTCAAACTGTGCTTTTTAATGATTTACAATGAAAATTGAATTCAGAAATAAAATGAACCAATTGATGCAACTGTTTGTTGAGTATAATTACATTTTAATGCCATTGTCAAACAAGCCAAACAAAAACCAGTCTGTTTTACTTTTAAAAAACCAACTAATTTGAATAGATCCAAACAGTCAATCAAGTAGAAAAAAATGTATTTTGTCTCTATGAGGAAATGCAAATACTGATTGTAATGTGGAATACAACTTCAACAATGTATATTTTCTATTTTCTTGTTTATTTCTTGTCTTTTAATTTGTATTGTACAATGCCATGTCTTTTTATGCTGCTGCAACACAAACATTTCCCAAATTGGGATCTATAAAGTACTATCTTATCTTATCTTATCTTAACTTACAAAGCTCCATTTTGTTGAAATTGAATGTGTTCACTTCAGGCAGTTCAATTGCAATAACTTAATTGTCTCTGAAAGTCAAGGACAAGTCAACATTAACTTCAACCCTTATGTTTACATCCATGTATGTAACTCCACATCATTATAGGTTGCTGCTCACTTCACAGCTTTGTTTTCCCTTGAGGGAAGGCCGTACTTATCAAGAGAAAAGGACAGACACCCCAACATCAGCTGTAGGAACAGCCTATACTGTATACTCACATAAAACAGTTCCATCAGGAGAGACTTCATTTTGACACATGTCATATGATAAATGTTAAGTCTTTGGCGATTAGACCCCGATCCTGAAATCGTATATCTAAAGGGGGAAATGCAGCCGTGATTATATAGGGAACCCCCCCCGGGGTCTAGACACTGGTGATGATGCTGAATATCTGGATATGAAGAGGAGGTGTGATGAGGTCTTTGGATTAGCTCTCCTGGCACTGGATATGATGGAGGTGGATGGGGAGAAGGTGCAGCATGAAAACCTGAAATCACAGCTGACTGCAGGAGAGAGGAGAACCATTTTAAAGTTTGGCTGCAGCACGGTGATTGGCTGCTGGAGAATGAGGTGAAATGTATTAGGTTAAAGAGAACGCCTGTGATGAGCTGATTATATGCAGCTGCGGAGTGAATGTATATACCCAGTCTTCCTGAAAGAACTTGCGCTGAGCTTCATGTGTTGGGCATGTCTCTGTCTCGTAACTGGTATCAGCAAGTGTGACAGATAGCACACAACCTCCCTCCCTTTGTGTCCATATATCCCTCCATTGGTCTATTTTCAACTGTGGCTCTTTTCCGTCCTTCTCCCTCCCTGATTTTGGACCCCGGGTTTCTTTGGAAAATCCTTCTTGTGATCATGGTTGGTATTGGATGATGTCACTGTGACTAGTCAAGGCCAGGCTGTGAGTTCGGTGTAATCAGATCCCTTCATATGATTACATGGTGAATTTAGAGTATGGGTTGACATTAACCAGTAATTAGATTCAACGTAATTGAAGAGGACACATTATGCTCATTTTAAGGGTCATATTTGTATTTTGTGCTTCTTGACAAGTGCTTTATATTTGAAATACTGCCTTTGTTGCAGAACCTTTTTTCACCCTCGGTCTGAAATGAGAGCCCAGTCTGCTTTGATTGGTTAATCCAATGATTGATCAACTTCTTGGAGATATGTCAGAAACGTCCTGTCCCTTAACCTATCCCGCACAATGTGTGGGACCGCTAGCCAACAGAAGCGCAACTGTTACAAAGTGATGTCACTGTATTACAGAAGTAAACAAAGGAGTCAAATCGAGGAGTCTCAGGCGGGAGGGTGCAGTGCTGGGGGGGACATGGTGAACTTTGGGATATTAGCCTTTGCCGACCATTTCCATGCACAAAAACGTATACTACACTACAGGAAAGAGGGGGAATACCAAAAAGCAGGGCCTCCTTAAGACATCAATTAAGTGCTTGAAAAAGGCCAAATACAAATACCAAAATACTCTTGTCTCAAGGCAAACTTTTTTGTGTTAATGTCATTTTTACAAAGCCATATTGCAGCAACATGCATGCACTTGCAGTTTTATGTAACCCTTTCTAGTCACGAGACCACACAAGGTGTGCTTTCAACACCTAAGGAAAATATGTCTGCAAAATGTGACAAGACTGCCTTTGTAATTAATCAGTGACTTTGTACACCACCTGTACTTCACAGCCGCTCTCTCTCTCACACACACACACACACACACACACACACACACACACACACACACACACACACACACACACACACACACACACACACACACACACACACACACACACACACACACACACACACACACACACACACAATTGTAGCCTCTTTGGCTTGTGCTCCCCGTGGGCATCCGCAAGGCGTGACATCACTCTCTCCACAGACACACAGCTCACTATAATTCCTCTCTCTACAGAGGAACTACTGGCCACAGAAGCAAAAATGGATTCAGTGATCTGCACAAAAATCCTGCTTTGCTTTGGTTGGGCGTTTGCATGTGTTTCTCTTTGTCAATTCTCAGAAAACATAGTCATACTTCAGCTATGTATAATTCTCCTAGGCAAAGCACCATCATCCACTCTTAAACCCTGTTGGATAATATGGCTAAATGAACCCAACAGTGTTTGATATTGTTCTGACTCTACATGTACCTTCATCTTGTTTACCTTCTCACTGTTTTGATTTCTATATTAGCAGTTTATTTGTAACAATGAAATATTGGTTTGAAAAACATATCGTAACCATTTCGTAGAATAGCAAGTGTTTTCTGACAGAATATGTAAGGCACAGATATAACAAAGCTCTTAACTTAACTTAAAACATGTATATGGACATTACATGTCTGCAGTTATTTAATATTGATAACGATTGTATTCTCAAGATAGCTTAGGCTAGATGTTTTCAAAGTCTGACATGATCTACTCAGCAGGTATGATGTAGCATCACCTAATTGATTAAAAAGATGTACAATGTAAATGTAATTGATAAGATAAGATAAGATAAGATAAGATAAGATGGTACTTTATTGATCCCAATTTGGGAAATTGTTTTTGTTGCAGCAGCATAAAAGACAAGGCATTAACATAACATAACATCAGCAAGCACTATATTTTATTCATCCACATCTATCTTTGTACCTAATTTTCTATAGCACACAAAATCTAAGCACATTGTCTGAGATCAGCTGAAGTGGCGCAGTTTGAGTGGTGAGGAAATGTACAGTGAACATAAATCATAAAGTGAATCATGGCTGGCACTTTAATCCTGTCTCTGCAGGGACTACCTTCAAACCCCATACATTTCAGATCCATAGCTGTGGTCACCTGGTTTTAATTTAGAATTGGAGGACACACAAGAGATCTGCCAGGCACTAAGCTTGGAAGGGAAGAGTGAAATAAGACTTTGGGTCGGTTCCCGGGGGGGGAGTACGGTGTATTTTTAGAGAAGTACACTATGTTCAAAATGTGTGTTTACATTACACAAGAAAACAAATAATCTGTAGTACATGAAAAAAGAACACAAATATTGGTTTAATCTTTATAGCTATGGACCAACATTTGCTGAAAAGTTAATATTTTATTTCAAGGACTACAAGGACACTTTGATCACAATTTATTTACTAATCAACATTGAAATTATTTTGTATTATTGTACTCTGATAATTGCATGTTGTAAATCTTTGGAGGGCTGTGACTTCATTCTTGACCTTCTTTGGTTTCTGGGAAAGGATGACATGATCATAATCACATCAAGCATTCTGGATTGAATGCATCTTTGTGAGTTTTATCCTATAGATTTATTTCTCCGACTGATTTTCACAGAGTGAAACAATATGGCCATTCTGTATACCCTGCAGTTGCTTCATGGGGAACCATTGAGTTTGGATCCTTTACAAAGGAGCAGGCTTGGATCACAACTATGGTGATAATGGTAAGCCATGCTGTTTTTGAGGATCTAAAGATCAACCCAAGCATTTTTACGGTAAAAAGAAAGGAAATGATGGATACATTTAGACTGCGTTTAAACTGAATTTCATCCGGGAAATAAATCAAATTATAAACATGCCAAAACTAAATCAACAGATTCTAAGTAGTTAATAATCCTTGTGTTGACTGTTTTAATTTAAAGGACTCTTGAGCTTCTTAGATGCATGACCTTTTTTCCTTAGTATTTTATCAGCACCCTGTGACGTTAAATCTCCAATCCTTGTGCAAATGTATACTCCCCTCTGCTGCAGTCGACTCCCTCCGCTGCTGCTGCCCTGGATCATGTTAATGATCTTGCAACAGAGCCCCACTCCACAGAGCACTTTTTCATAATTTCTAGCTGACTATCTCATCTTCTTTTCTTTATAGAAGGAAAATATGATTGGATAAACTGAGTAGAATCTTAGATGCATACTTGTCTAATGTGCTACAGTGAAATAGAGCACAGAGTAACTGTTATGTAATTCCTCAAATGGGCCATATGTTTGTGAACAACGGTTGCTAACATATTCTTATCATGCAGATATACAAACAATGTATCTTTACAAATGCATGGATTTTCAGTTGGGCATGTTTACCATGTTAGATGCAATTTTAATGTTAACAAGGCAGGTGCCGATGTGAATTGTACCACTTGAGGTAAAAACAAATAGTTGATTGTGAATCCTGGTTGAACAAGGACATACACGGCAGTAATCTTAATGAAGATGGAAAGAAAGACAACTGTAAACAGTAAACAAATGAAATGTATTTTTTAATCAGCATGTGATAATTTACAGAGGTTCAAAAAAACTGGATTTCATTTGATGTATTCTTAAAAATGCATAAATTGTACAAAATTCGAGCACTATAAAAAGCAAACAACAGTCTTCCCAAGCCATCTGTTTTAAATTGACATAAAAAATATCTCTCAGTGGTAAATATATTTCACCTGACACACCATCTATCTCATGGTAAAAGTCCATATTTCCCTTGTACTTAAATGCAATTTTTCCTATTGGAAATGCAATACTATAACATACCATTCCATAACAAGTATGGTTCATGTGGAATAGTAAACAATCCTTTTTACTGGTGTTTTCAACAACAAATGCTGGATTGATTTGATCTCTCTCTATTGGTACACAGTTTTTGTTATCCTCCAGCACTCTACCAGGAGCACTGGAGATGCATTCAGTCCCTGCGGTGAGCCAGAGGTCTTTTCTCTCTATTGGATTGACTGCCTTGGCTTGTGGTGACGCCTAACCATCTTCCTTCTTCTCCTCATTCCAGCTGTAAAAAAGGAGTTAGCATTAAAGGAGAGAATGAGAGGAATGAAGCCAATGTCAAAGACATTTTTTTTTAGGTAAAGATATGAGACATGTGAAGAATAGATAACTATAGTTTTTCTCCAATTCCTACATTGTTGTTAATGAATGTGTCAGTTCAATCATCTAACTTACCTGGAGCTTTCCTGGCAGCGGCAAATTTACCTCCGTCTGTGAAAAAAAAGGGGCAACACAGTTAATCATTGCAATTGGTACGCACACACACACACACACACACACACACACACACACAGCACACAGCACACACAGCACACACAGCACACACACACACACACACAGCACACAGCACACACAGCACACACACACACACACACACACACACACACACACACACCACACACACACCACACACACACACACACACACCACACACACACACACACACACACACACACACACAACACACACACACACACACACACACACACACACACACACACACACACACACACACACACACACACACACACACACACACACACACACACACACACACACACACACACAGCTACCAGATCTGCAGTGATGGATACT